ACACACAAATACACACAGATACACAAGTTGTGTGTGTTTATACACAACAGTTGTGACCATGCGTGTGTGTGTGCGAACCTATCCAGGCAGTGTTAAAGCACGACCTCTGACCCCCTGCATCATCCTCGCTGGTTTCCGTGACGACACAGCCCACAGCTCCTGTAGCGTCTCTGAGCTGAAGAGTTTGTTTGAATTCTGACGTCTGGGAGGGAAGCTGGAGCACGCCCACTAACAGCAGGGGGCGGAGCCTAACAGGAAACAACGTGAGTAGGAAGTTAAACAAGTCTAACACTGGCAGGGGGCGGAGCCTAAAGACAAGTCAGGTCAAAGTTTGTTAGTTTTATTTTTCTGAGTTCACCCAAACAGGTGGTGTTTACCTGAGACTGTCTCCTGTCTGAGGGTCAGAGGACAGGGTCTTACAGGACCAGGACAGGGCTGAGTTGATCTGAGTCCTGTTCAGAGATGATCCATCTGGAGGCAGCAGAGACCTGAGGGACACTGAAGACCAGGACATGGACTGAAGAGACTGGAGGAGATCTGAGACACTGATGTACTGAGGGACAGAAGGGTCCACGTGGTACTGATGAGGACACAAATGAGACACTGTGAGTCTTCATACCTGTGGACAGGGACATGGACTCTGCAGAGTCTAAAAGACACTAAGAGAGACTGCAGGGTCCTGACTGATCTGTATGTGACCAACGAGGACATCTACCTGAGTCAGAGGACAGCTGTGAGGATCGTCCAACATCTCTGAGTAGATGTCTCGGTGTCCTCGTCCTCTTTGTCTCCACAGAGACTCCATCAGCTTCCAGGAGAGAAGACAGACACACTGCTGTTTCAACAGACCAGGGACCAGACTGGGACCAGAGACACAAAGAGACAATGACCAAAGGCTTTAAAGAACGTCTCAGAAACTGGTTCCAGTCTGACCAGTCCTCACCTGCTGGACAGCTGGGAGGACAGGTGACTCGTCCACAGGTACTGGTCCGGTCCCGTGTTGTTCTGCAGCAGTAACTGAGGCAACACTCCGTCTTCAGGACAGCAAAGGGAGGGAGGACGTCCCCCGACCCTGCTGAAGGACGTGACTCTTAGGGTGGAGCGCAGGCAGCAGCAAAGCATGCTGGGAGGGAAGTCAGGACAGGGACGGTACAGGAAGTGGACGTGATGCAGCTGCAGAATCAAAAACACCTGATCAGTACATGTCAATCAGAACAGGAAGTGTCCAGTCAGTGCAGGAAGTGTCCAGTCAGGACAGGAAGTGTCCATCAGAACAGGAAGTGTCTGTCCAGTCAGAAAAGGAAGTGTCTGTCCAATCAGAACAGAAGTGTCCAGTCAGGACAGGAAGTGTCTGTCCAATCAGAACAGAAGTGTCCAGTCAGGACAGGAAGTATCCAGCCAATGCAGGAAGTGTCCAGTCAGGACAGGAAGTGTCCAATCAGAACAGGAAGTGTCCAGTCAGGACAGGAAGTGTCCAATCAGAGCGCAGCACAGACTCACCTCCACTCGGTCACCTGCTCTCAGTTTCCTCCTCGCCGTCGGCTGATAGGCCACACACAGGCCCACCTTCCTGTCAATCACATATAGCCCTGCCCCTT